GCGGGGCTCCCGGCGGGGCAGCTGGGGGGGGGGCGCCTGCGCCAGCCAGGGTGAATGGCCAGCAATTTCCAAGAGCCTTGAAACAGGAACCCGCGGCGCGAGGAGCATCTGGGAAGCCTTAGCACTATGTGAACTTTGCACAGCTCAGGAACAACTGTCGCTATAGGATTTCCATACATCCTTTCACACGCTGGCTCTGGTGACGAATCAGCTCTGTGAGAGTGATCAAATGCCTGGGACTCCAGCTGAATCCGCAGCCCAGAGCCTCCCCCTGAACCCCAGGATGCAGCACCCAGGGGGAAAGACAACAGCCCCAAGCCCCCCAGCCAGGCTGCAGCGTCCCCCACCACGGCAGGAGCCCCCCTCCAGCACACTGAGGCCGCAGCACAGATCCTGCAGTGCCCTGGGATGCTGCCACCAGCCGGGTGCTCGCGCCGTCACCCCTGGATGCCAAGGGCCTTGGCCTGGAAAAATGGGACAGACTAAAATTATCCCCGGGCCCGCGTGCCCCACGGGTTGGGATGAAACCTACACCTCGGGGGACGTCAGCAGGCAGCGGCCGGCGCACGGGGGACGGGGCACGTCCCCTCCACCCAGGCTGTGCCCGTCTCACCGCCACCCCAGACCCCCAGGGAGCTGGCGGAGGGGACACTGAGGTGACAAAATAAAGCCTGAATTGAGCAAATCCCCTCGGTGCAGAATTCAGCCAGAGGAAAACCCACCACTGCCCCCCCGCCGTGGTGCTGGTGAGCCAGAGGGACGCCTGCCATCCGCTGGGATTTGGCTGGTGATTCCCCCAGCTCAAATTCAGCTGGATCTTGGCTCCATTGCCACGGGGCCCGGAAACCCCTTGGTGCTCCCAGCGGAAACCCGGCCCCCGGCCCTCACGCATGCTCTGTAGAAAGCGGAGGTTTTGGGACCTTGTCCCTGCGCTGTCCCCAGGAGGCCAGAGGCAAGGGGACAGGGTCCAGGCCATGCTCTGGCCCCCTGGCCCCGGCCACCAACTGCTCTCCTGCACTTGCCCGCGCATATCCTGCTGATGTCAGAGCCCAGCCAGCCCTTCCTGGCCCCAGTAACAGCGGGGCTCACCCCTGGTCCACTCTGTTCCCAGGCAAACAGGATCTGGCTGGTCCCCTACAAAAGGGGGATGCCTGGGGAAAAGGCCAGGGACCCCACAGAAACCCTGCACCCTCCCTGCACCCAAGGGCCTTCCCCAAGCCCCAGGAACCTCCCCAAACTCCACAGACCTTCTCCAAATCCCAAGACCAGCCCTCAAACTTCCCCGAGCCTCCTAGATCTCCCCCAGGGTCTGAGGCAAGAGGGGCTGGGGGCT